TAACTCGTGCCAAATTGATCTATAATTGAAGATTAGATGAATCAAAATTCTGATCATGGAGCTTTCTTCAGTTTCAAGTCACCATGTTCAACTCAATGGGGCATCCTACTCAAGAGGCTTTTTAATCCCATTCATCTTGCAATGTGTAGTCCTCATGGCCTAGTTTGTAATGTAATAAGTAAATATTCATTTGGACATCTGAGGAGAAAGTTATGGTGTGTTGAAGTTGGCATGAAAAATTGGTCATTGTACTTAGAAAAAGTTCAAGTCTCTGAGGCAAAAAATGACCTATAATGCTCAAACAAATTCCAAGGCCTTCTAAGCATAATTTGATCTTGATCCTTCATGAAAAAATATAGAGGGCATTGTAAATGATATTATGCAAAAAGAATCATCCTCAAAGGATAAATATTAAAGAAGTTATGATCCTTGAAAGTTGGGAAAAAAGTCACTTGAAAATAGGTCAAATTTCACTAAGTCCACAAATGACATATAGTGTCTTCAAACTTTTGATGATCCTCCAAACGTAATTGGCTCTTGTCAGGTAAAGAGAAGTTTTATAGGATATTGAGAATAGTCATATGCAAAAATAAGCACTAAAATATGGAGAATTGAAGGAGTTGTAGTCCTTGGAACTTTGAATTGAAAATGTTGACATTTTGGTCAAACCTTATTGAACCAACTTGTGCACTTGAGGTTTTCTTGCATTTCAAGGTACATAGATGATCTTATGAACTCCAAATAAGATGTCCTTAAACGTCCTATGATTAAATTGACCAAGGCTTAGGATAACTTGTTGAAGAAGGCATGGAAATAAACACACGAATCTTTGACTTTTCTTGAGAAACAAGCTACACAACCTTGAGGTATTCTTGTTCCAAATGATATTGAGAGATGTTTGATGAACATAAATCTTGAGATTAAAAGCCACGTCTTTAGAGAAAAGCTCTTGAGAATCAATGGATGACCACACGTTGCCTTGAGAGAACACAACCCTAGCTGAGGAACCAAGCATGGTGCTATTGATGAAATGCTCTACCTTACACAAAGCTTAAAGAAACAAGACATATTTTTGTATTTTGATTAGTGGTTAGATAAACAATAAGCATATAAACATAAATATAAACACACATAAAATGGTGTTTAGTGACCTCTGCAAAGGCAAACCCCAAAGGATAAAAGGGAGGGAAGAACCAAGCATATATGATCTTGTTTATGGGCAAAAAATGCAAATGATATGTGGGATCTTAGGGTTAAAAAATAGGGTTTGACATGCACATAATTCTTTAATTATTTATTTCTCATAAGGTGTGGTAGTAAAGTAGATATCCACAAGAAAAAAAAAAAGAAATTTGTGAAAAAGATCTAAATATTGTGTTTGATTTTACTCTTTTCATCTCTTGATTTATATAATTACAACCATGCCATAAACATAAAATGGTGAAATTTTTGGAAAACATAGTTTATGACATTCAAAACGCAATTGTTTTTTAGACAAAAGAATTTTTTTTTTAATAATCTGCTTAGAGCAGTGAAGTTATAATAATCGATGATAGGTAGGAGCCGAATCAACAGATTAGCTTTTTAGTCATAATTGTAATCACTTATTTCACTGTTCTTTTGATCGAAACTTAAACCTAAACACCCCCAAACCAATTTCACTAGGTTAATAATAATCTAAGAGTCCTTGAGATACGATATTCGAGTGTCGCTTCCCTTTTTCTATGTTTTGTCTTAAACTCGTTTTTGACCTGTGTGCGACAGCGGATCAAGTATATGACCCTTTACTTATACATATTCTCCTAAAAGGCCAGTGAACGAACCTTGGAATGCTCCTATGATGTTGAGGTCAAGTTGGAGCCTCTAGAATGCACTATAAAACATGAAGTCTGATAACCTACTATGCTCGATAAACACTCACTTCACACCCAGTTATTGTATTGAACTGTGATGACCATGGGGTAATTGTTGTGAGGAAGAACACCAACATCTTCTTCATTTGAGAAGGTGATTATGAATTCTCGTTCTTTCTCTAAGATTGTGACATCGTTAGCAGGTTTGGCGTTTGCTATACAAATCTGTCATGCGTACTTTCTCCGATAGGAATTAGATTTTCCTCCACCGGCAAAACCTTTAGCAATGGCATTGACAATAATATTGCATTTTTGCTTAAGCATCACCGTGAAAAGATGGTGAATGCAACAATGAGTAACAATGAGTATGACTAGTGTCAGTTTTACTAGGTCCCACGATGGAAGTCAATTCTACTTGCTGAAAAGTATAATATGTGGCAACCCGTAGTGATTAAGGGCTCTCAAAGGTTTTAAGGTATGCTGTTTGGGATGAAAGCTAGTTTGCATAGGGCGTAAGAAACTTTATGTATGTGGTTTTCTGTATGAGAACCAGATTATCCCTCTCAACTTCAACGTTGAGGTATTTATAGCGATTCTAGGTCTGGATCCTAGGCCCTTTGAAAATAGAAACTATCATTGAGAGGATGCATAATGAACGATTAATCCACCATTATTTCAGAGAACGTGGTTAAGTGACCCTTTTTGTACCATTACGAAATGGGGACACACCATTTTCCCACTTTCCCACATAGAGCTATCATTCTTAAAAGGAGATGACATATATTCAATAAAGAGACAACACATTTAGTAAACGAGCTCTCAGACTAAAAAAAAAGGGCGACCAGAAACGCATTACGGACTCAATTTAAAGTCCTTTGCCTCCGTTTCATTTCTTCTGGCCCCTTTTTTGAAATTTGAATACAATAATTAATAATTTTTTAATTTTAAAAATATAAATGTAAAATCAAATACTATTTTTTATTTAAAATTTTATTTTAATTTTCACCTTAAACTATACAATATATTGAGTCGACTCCAAAGAGAATTGAAGAAAGACATCACACATATTTATTTTTATTTTTAGTGAAATATATTAACCCTCCACATCATTCTTTTGATTATTTATTTCTTATGAGGTGTGATAGTAAAGTAGATATCCACAAGAAGAAAAAAATAAATTTGTGAAAAAGATCTCAAATATTGTGGTTGATTTTACTCTTTTCATCTCTTGATTCATATTATTACAACCATACCATAAACATAAAATGGTGAAATTTTTGGAAAACATTCAAAACACAATTGTTTTTGAGACAAAAGAAATCTGTTTTTTAATGATAAAATATTTTTTTTTATGTATAATCAAAATCTTTTAGTAAATTAATCACTCAAATCAGATATCATAAAAACTTTTCTTGAAATAAACCTCTAAATATTTTCATGAATGAGAAATGGAGGCCCATTTGAGAAAATTTTACAAATTGCAGCTGAAGAATCAGATTTAATGTCTAGCAGGAAGTAGGAGTTGGATCAAATTGAATTTCAAAGAATGTTTATAAAGAATTAAAAAAAAAAAAACAGGTAGAAAAATGTACACAAACTATTTGGGCTATAAAAAAAAAAAAAACATAACTGAGGGACCCGCATACGTTTGATAGACCACTTCATTCGGTCCTAACCCTGTTAAAGAAAGCAATAATAACCAAAAAAAAATCAGAATAAAATAATGATAATAAATTATTAATGGACCTGAAGAGTCCAAATTCAGAGATCCAAAGAGAATTGCGCTATTTGAAAACTTTTGAGAAAAAAAGCTCCGTTACCGCATAGTAACGAAAACCAACCAAGTTTTCATATACCAGCAACCCTAATTCTAAAGTCCAATTAGGTCCAGGCCCAATCTCCATCTTTCTCCGGTAAGCCTTTCTCTTTCTCTCTCCTCTGTATAACCCTAGATTTCACTCCGATCATCCTCAGACGCGGTTTCCGGTTCGGATCCGCGTTTCGGCCATGTTATTTCTTGATTTGTAGATCTGTAACCCTAGCTACGTGATTTTCTTGATTTTGTTGATTTCTAATGTCTCTTTTGCAGTTTTGTTTTTCTTGTTTACCTTTTTATCTTGTTTAGTTTTTTTTTTATTTTTTATGAATTAGAACATATTTTTGAGGTTTTGTTGGATCTGTTTTTTTTGTTATGATATGATCTTTTAGATTGATTATCATTGTGTTTTTTATTTAGTTTTTTTAATAAGTTCATGCAGTGGTAGTACATTGATGATGTAATATTCCAGTTTTGATTTTAACCATTGATTATTTGAGTTTTGTGGGTAGTACTTGATCGAGAATCTGCCATGGATTCTGACCTGATGAGTTCTGTCATGTTATTATTTTCATATTGTTATTGGAAATTTGTTTTTATTAGTATTTAATTGGGCCAGCCCGACCCATATGTGGGCTCATAGACACTACAGTGGTGGATTTAAGATGTTATTGTAAGGGGGATTTTTTTAATGCACCCTATAGGTTACTTATGCATCTCGTGAAAATACAATAATATCCGATTCCGTAGATGCATCTCTGGACGCACCCCAAATACACACAATTGGTTTGTTTTTGAGACATTGGAATAAATTTAGTCATAAAACTGAGGCGTAACTTAAAAACGAATGAATTGTGTATGAGGTCTGTCCGGAGATGCATTTCTAGAATCTGAAGAGCATTTTTGGAATTCCATAGGTTCTTTTTCTCTTTATAGGATGGGATAAGAAATTCCCTATTGTAAGATGCCATTCCTTGGGCCTCCTTTTTAACGAGTAAAAATGCTATTGTAAGATCTAAGTGCAGTGTTGTTATATTTTATTGCTGTTTTGTCTGCATGCCCCCCCTTGAAATTTAGTTCGTTTTTTTTTCAGACTCCAGAGTGGACTCATAACCAATTGTAGTCTAATGCCTCATAACCAATTGTAGTCTAATGCATATTGTATGCTTGTCATTATTTAAATTAAATACTTTGCATGGTAGTCTTGACATCTGATGTCTTTGTGATCTCATGTTTTATTCATGGCTATACTTACTGTGTATAATTTATATTCACCATTAATCATCAATGGTTTCTTCTGTGTATTGTAGCTGAATACATATTGAAATAAGATGATTACTGTTGACGAAGACAGAGTGGATGCGGCCCCTGATCTGAAAAATGCTCCAGTCGGGGCTGATTGTCAGCCAGACAGTGATCTCTCTGATTCCAGAGTAGAACCAGACACTGGAGTTCCCACTTCTGAATTACAGGCTTCTGATGGTGATGCAAATGGACGGACAACCAATCATGAGTTGGACAATACTATAGAACCTCCTAATAACAAGCCAGAGAATTCAGAATCACTGGCCAATGAACAGTCGAACAATGCTGATGCCTCAGACAACAATCAGCAAGTTGATTATGAAGCACCACCCAACAATCCATCAGTCGAGTCTGAAACACCCTCTGACAATCAGCCTGTTAGCTCTGAGGGTACTCTTGATCAGAAGTTCTCTGCTGAGGGTAATTCCGAGGAGCTTTCAAATGATGGTGGGGTTGTAGTATCTGAAGCGCAGCACAGTAATGAGGTGGCTTTGCCAGAAATGCAGCATAGCAATGGAATGGTTACATTTGAAACACAGCAAAGCAATGAGGTGGTCATGTCTGAGGAGCAGACCATCAATGATGTGGTCATGACTGAGGCCATGACTGAAAATGAGTTGGGCACTTCCACAATTGATCCCAACCATCACCTTTCCCATCCTGAAACTCACCCTCATAACCATCACTTTGCTGATTTCCATATGATTCCTGAAGATCAGCTGCCTCAACCTGAATCTCTACCCAATTGTGATCCACTGCCATGTTCTGAACAACTTGAAGACAGTCACATCAGAGACGTCAAACCAATGCATCATGATCATCTTGCTCAGTATGATACAGTTCCCAACAACCATCTGGACCATTCTGAGGCACTGTGCAACCATCAGCTAACCGATTCTGAGACACTGTCCCCCGGACAACTAGCTAATTCCCAAATGTTGCATCACTATGAGCTGGAAAATAGTGAAACACTGCATGAAAATCAGCTAGTTAATTCTCAAGAACACTATGGACTTGTCAATGCTAACATCATACCCAGCTATGAGATAGTAAGTGCTGACACTCCTTTGAACTGTGAGGAACCTACCCCAGACACTCAGCCTAACAAAAGGAGGAAAAAGAAGTCTATAGTCTGGGAACACTTCACCATAGAAAATGTTGATCCCGGATGTAGAAGAGCGTATTGCAAGCAATGCAATCAAAGTTTTGCCTATAGTACTGGTTCAAAGGTTGCTGGTACCAGCCACCTTAAGCGCCACATTGCTAAGGGGGTATGCGCAGCTCTTCTGCGTGGCCAAGATCAGAACACATATACCCCCCGATCAAGGGGAACTGGTGCTGGCAATGCTAGCAGTACACCAAAGCGACGTTATAGAACTGGGGGTTCTCCCTACATAATTTTTGATCAAGATCGTTGCCGCCATGAGATTGCTAGAATGATCATTATGCATGATTACCCCCTCCACATGGTTGAACATCCAGGATTTGTTGCGTTTGTCCAAAATCTGCAGCCCCAATTCAATATGGTGACCTTTAACACAGTCCAAGGAGACTGTGTTGCAACTTTCCTGTCAGAAAAACAAAAACTTCAAAACTATTTTGAAGGATTACCAGGACGTTTCTGTCTGACACTGGACACGTGGACCTCAAGTCAGTCTGTAGGATATGTATTTATAACTGGACATTTTGTTGATAGTGATTGGAAGTTGCAGAAGAGAATTCTCAATGTTGTGATGGAACCATACCCTGATTCTGTCTCTGCTATCAGCCATGCTGTATCTGCATGCCTTTCTGATTGGAATTTCGATGGCAGGCTGTTTTCTATTACTTGTAACAGTACACTCAACGAAGTTTCCCTTGGAAATCTCAGATCATTTCTGTCTGCAAAAAATCCACATATCCTCAATGGTCAGTTGTTGGTGGGAAGTTGCATTGCCAGAACTTTAAGCAGCATTGCAAATGATTTGCTGAGTTCTGTACAAGATCTAGTGAAAAAAATCCGGGATAGTGTAAAATATGTGAAGACTTCAGATTTGCATGAGGAAAAATTCCTAGAACTCAAACAGCATCTTCAGGTCCCCAGTGAAAGGAGCCTTTTTATTGATGACCAAACCCAGTGGAATACAACATACCTAATGCTGGTGGCAGCTTCTGAGCTAAAGGAAGTGTTCTCTTGTTTGGATACTTCGGATCATGATTACAAGGAAACTCCATCTATGCAAGATTGGAAGCTAGTTGAGACACTCTGCAGTTATTTGAAGCCGCTTTATGAAGCAGCAAACATTCTTACCACTACAACTCATCCCACTCCCATTACCTTCTTTCATGAAGTTTGGAAATTGCAGCTGGATCTTGCCCGAGCTGTTATGAATGAGGAGGACCCCTTCCTTAGCAAACTTATTAAACCGATGCAAGAAAAGATTGATAGGTACTGGAGAGACTGTAGTTTGGTTCTTGCAATAGCAGTAGTTATGGATCCCCGCTTCAAGATGAAGCTTGTTGAGTTTAGCTTCACAAAAATCTATGGTGATGATGCTCATGAATTTGTCAAGATTGTTGATGATGGAATTCATGAACTATTTAACGAGTATGTGGCTCTTCCCCTGCCATTGACACCGGCTTATGCAGAAGATGGAAATGTGAAGAGTAACGGATCCCCTGGAGGAAATCTGTTATCAGAAAATGGATTAACGGATTTTGATGCCTACATCATGGAAACTAGTACCCAACAGACCAAGTCTGAATTGGACCAGTACCTGGAAGAATCACTGCTGCCCCGGGTACCGGATTTTGATGTATTGAGTTGGTGGAAGCTAAACAAACTTAAGTACCCAACTCTTTCGAAGATGGCCCGGGATATTTTGTCTGTTCCGGTTTCGAGTGCTCCTGCTGACTCTATATTTGATAGTAAAAGCAAAGAGATGGACCAGTATCGAAGTTCATTACGACCAGAGGTAGTGGAGGCCCTTGTATGTGCCAAAGATTGGATGCATTATGGAGCAGCAGAAGCCTCGAGTGCACTTGTGAAAATGGAATTCTAGATTTAATTTCTTTTGGTTTAGGGATCCTTTGCAATGTTTTCTATTAAAATTCTTAATAACATCGAAATGTACTTTGGATGATTGGACTTAAATAATTAAGTTGTAGCCTTGAGGTGCGTCAAATCCATTTTTGGGTATAATTATTACCTGTGTTTTTTAAATCGTGTTTGATTTATAAACCTCGAAAACATTGTTGCCCACTGAACAAACGGTTCTAAAAGAGTGGCAATAAACTGATGTCTAAAAGAGTGACACTTTTTATAAATAGATGTTTCTTTAGATCTTTATATTCTTCAATCGAAATCTTTATGCTCTATCTCTTAACTCTACTTTCTTCTCTCAAAATTTTAATTATCCTCAAAACTATTTCTTAATCACTTCCTCTTTTCTTACTACTTCCCTTTCAACATTTAAAGTTAATTTTTCTTTTTTTCTTTTTTCAACTTTAACATCAATTAATTTTGTTTATTCGTGCATTTCCGCACAACTAATAATTAATATTAATTTGTATTAATTAATTTTAATATTGTTTTAAATTTCTCTTATACAATCTTAAGTTTGTAGAAATAATATTTTATATTTGTTGTGTTTTATTAAATGTTCAATGTTAGTTTGATGACAATTACATTGATAAAAATTCAAAAGAATTATACTGAGATGATAAGAGTTCTTTTTAAATTAATCAGATATTTTGAATTTGAATTCAATTTTGATCAAGCAACAGGTCAATTAGTCTCTACAATCATATGAGATGATAAGAGTTCTTTTTAAATTAATCAGATATTTTGAATTTGAATTCAATTTTGATCAAGCAACAGGTCAATTAGTCTGTACAATCATATGGAAGGCATCTAATTTAACGGTTCGTCTAATTGAACAAGTAGCAGCAGTCCTCTGACTTTGAAAAATTATTTTAGTTTTATATATATAGGAAATGACATATTTAATAGTTTTGATGAAAAAATATTAAATATTTTAAATATGAAAATTAAAAGAGAACAAATGTAATTTATATACATCTTTATGTATAAATATTTGTGTTTAGGATTTGGTCTTTGGCTAACTCGGCGTTGAGCACAACGCAATTTAGTCCTACGTCGAGAATGGTCTAGAATGTTGACTCAACCTGCTGGGGCCAGTAGAAGACATATTCTCCACGTGTTCCTCATTCGAGGGCACATCACCAACCGATTCGCACGCCTCGTAGAATCTTTCTGTCCTTTGCAACGAGCAAGTTCGACCACTAACCGAGAAATGCAGAGCGATTGACTCAAGACGATGAGCACGAGTTGTTCATCCATACGTCCACATAGGAATTCTGACAGTCATCCGTTGTGGGCTTTGACACTCAGCCTATAACGGAGACCATTGGCCCAGCGTTGAGGGCTCATTATAAAAATCCTCCTCTGCAAGAGGGTTGTGTATTATATTCTCTAACTCTTTCTTGTTGTCTATTCATCCGAACTAACTTAAGCATCAGAGTGTCTGCAGATACACATATCTTCTCTCGTCGACCGTTATTACAACAAACGTGTTGCTAGCTACACACTCTGATCGACATGTGAGATCAGTGGCGTCGTCTATGAGAATCTTTTTTCCCCATCTTTTCTTTCCTCGAAACCAAGAGATCAAAATAAAAACTTCAAAAATCAATCATGGCCGATCAACACAAAAACAGCGGTCACGAAACCATCCTTTCTCATGTCAACGACACTGACGACAACAACGATATGTCAATTCTGGAGGAAGACACTCCAAAGAGGAGAGACGGGCACTCTGCCTCCCCCTCCTCCGACGATGCGGCCAATAATAATGTTTAATCGAGATCTGCAAAGTCCAAAAAGCTTTGGAGAAGACGTCGTAGAAATTCCAACCAATCCCGGTGTTGGCCAACGCCGACCCGACCATGGAAGCCCAGATCGCGGCCCTTAACCAGACCAATGTGTTGATCTATCAACAGAATGAGAGGATCAGAGCATTGGAGAAAGATCGTCGTTCAAGCTCTCCCCCGTGGAGATGCCAACGATATGAATTCGAAAGCCCATCGCCGCAACGACCAGGCCGCCGTCGACAGTTGGAGAGGTCGCAGCCCCTGAAGCGCAATAGTACTCTTCCCTGCAAAAACTGACGCTCCCAGGTTTCCAAGAAGAGCAAAGGCAGCAGACGAACAGACAACCGTCGTTCGCCTCCGTGCAAATTGAAGAGTCGGTCGAGGGACTCGCTGCCACGCTGCGATGACAGTCCTCGGCGAAAGAAGTACGACTGCTCTCTGCGACGCTCACCGCTCCGGAGTGACGAAGATGACCCCACGGTCAACTATCTCGAGTATTCATGGACGCTCTCCTTCCCGTCGGGCTGGAAAAACCCCCAAAGTTAGGGACATTCGACGAAACGACAGATTCCGACGAGCACATCGAAAACATTGATTCCCTGCTCGACTATCGCAGCCATCAAGTGTAAGTTGTTTCCTACTACTTCGAGGAAGGGTGACATGACCTGGTACAAGAGCCTCGTTAAGGAATCTAGACAGTTTTCGAGGCACTTCACCGCTTCTCGTCGCCATCCAAAGTCAGAGGCGGCGCTCGAGGCAATCATGCAGGGGAAAGATGAATTCGTCCGAGCCTATATTGAGAGGTTCAATCGAGATATTGTTCAGGTCTCCACAATCGATGACATGAAGAAGTATCTGCTCAAGCGGGGACTGCGCCTCCACAGTGACTGCGCCAAGGTTGTCGACATTGAGACGCCTGCATCGCTGGATGTCCTCCTTCTCAAGGCCCAGATCTATATTGAATACGAGGAGAAAGAAGCTGCCAACAATGCTCGAGACTCTCGAAATTAGGAAATCGCCCAAGTTTCGAGGCACGATGACCCCATGGTGCCTTTCCGAGGAGGAGAGAAGAGGAAGGAGGATAAGCCATGTGAATCTCAGAAGTATAAAGGATCTGCTGGCTATTTTGTCGAGTACACGCTGCAAGCTGCCTCTCGCGACTGTATTCTATCTGAGTGCGTGAACTCAGAATTTCGCCAAGCTGGAGTCCGTTTTCTCAAGAAAACACCTCTCAAGCCTACTGCGGACAAGACCAAGTATTACCGCTTCCGTAAAAGCCACGGGCACGCCACTAAAGAGTGCATCCACCTCAAGGATGCGATTGAAATCCTCATCAAAGACGGGAACCTAAAGCAGTACACTAAGAGAAGAGAAGCTCATCGGCAAGATGCTAAGGAAGCGAAGAAGGTCGAGGAGGATAAGCCGCCATCTAAAGATGTCGTTACCTTTCAGATCGCCATGTCCATCTCTCGGCCTAAGAACTTCTACATCCCTGACAATGCCGAAACCCCCTCCATTTTTCGGCGCACAGCATGTGAGAAACCTTCCCTTCTGCCATGGGTATATTTGATGGAGGATTCAACAAGCTCGTTGTGGGATCGGTGAAAAGGAAGTTCGATCAACTCATTGATGCAAGCTCGAGTCAGAACTCTATTCTCGACAAATGTTGGGGAAGTTCAATTCTGATTATGTTCTACCGCAAGGAGCTCCCCAGTGGATCCCTCAACTTCAGTATCCCTTTTCTCGTGAGAGCACAAATGGAAAACTTTGACGTTCGTCACATACTGGTCAATTAGGGGAGCTCGACCGACATCATGTACTCTCAGCTATTCCTGACATTATAGCTCGACGAAACACATTTGGCACCCTACATGGGGTCCGATTTATAGGGCTTCAACGGCGTGACCACAAAGTTGTGGGTTTATGTCAAACTGATCATCACGGTCGGAGGGGCTGAAACCACCAAGTCAGTCAAAGTCCAGTTCCTGGTCATATACTACCGTTCTCTATACTAGTGCACCCTAGGGAGACCAACTCTGACCAAACTGATCACCGTGCCAACCACTGTCCATCTGAAGATGAAGTACTGTGTAACACCCCAAATTTATTGGAATATTCATTTAATTTATTTAAATATGAATATTCGTATTTTTGGTGATTTTCGGTGGTTGGTATGAAATATTGAGAATTATGGATTTTGGGTTATTTATTTAAATAATAGTATATAATATGAATATATTGGTCTTATTATTAATTTAAATAAATATAAGTGATTTGATAGCAAAGTGGACTTTTGAGGAGGAGTTAGTGAGGGTGAAATTGGAAAGTTCATTTTAAGGCCCAAAGTTAGGTTTAACAAAAAGGAATTTTGAGGGAATTAGGATTCATTCTTGTTAGACCGTGAAAAGAGAAAAAATAGAGGCCAGAGCTCTGAGGAAGAGGATTGAGGCAAAGCTTCGCGAGGTTTCCGAAAATAAAGGAGAAAGGTTTAGAGTCGACAAATTAAGGTATGGGGAGTATTGCCTTCATTGTTTTCAATATGTGATTCAATGTGTTTAAAGTCGATTTAAGGGTTTAGAAATTTTTAGTATTGAATTTTTGTTGCCTTTCTGGTGAGTTTAATGAGTTTGAGAGATTTGAACTGATGATCTGATAGGTTTGAGGCTGATTTGGGATAAGGGAAATTAGGCCTTCGTGGCCAAAATCTGTTGTTGAGGTTTTAATCGTATAGGGTAATTGATTATGAGAACTCTAATGAATGTGGGAAAATGGTAAGGATTTTATGGGAATTGGAGGCGTAAATATGATACGGGATTGGCCTAATAAGTCATAGATTTTGTGTCTTTATCGTCGTAATACCTTAGGAATGATTGAGGTATGTTTTGGGGGAATTGGGGAAGAAAATTGTAGGGAATTTTGGGTTGGTTTTGGTGCTGGTGCGTAACAGTGTTTTGCTATTATTGCGAGTTCGCACAGCGAACACTCGCTCCAGACTCGCACGGTGAACTTGCCAGCGAACGTAGCATATTTTTGCGAATTATGTTTTGGTTCAGTATTGTCTTGATGTTTTGATGCTGTGATTTTCCTGATGAGTTACCATGAGTATAATTGTGATTCCTATGTGATTAAATGAATGTATGATGAATTACTATAAGTATAGCTGTGATTA